ATCTTATCAAACTCATATAAATCTAGCCGAATTAAGGTTTGGTATATAAATTATGGGCCTCCATGAATCCAAGGTGATTATGAGGAACATAGATAAAATTGAGTGTATTATGAACTATAGAATGAAACGCGGGATTTTATTATTGGAAATAAAGGATTACATTCACTTAGAATTACAATTACTAATAATTGTAAATAATGGAACAAAAATTTATTCAGTATCCTAATAATTTCATATGACTTTTAAATGAAGTTGGATTGCTTATATTGGTATATGGTGGACATTATTGCAATTGATGTCTATAGCCCCTTTAGATGGAGTTTTTATGCCTAAAAATAGAGATAGCAAAAGGTTTGGTTTAATCCAGGATCCAATGATATTAAGGATGATATGAGAGTGTTAAAACATGGTTAATGAAGTTTATAAATTATAATGATCATTAAAAATTGTTTAAAATTGTGTTGGAAGTGTTAAAACTTGATGTAGCAAAGTAGGATTTTTTTTTTGGGCAAAATTGTGTGTTGTAGCAAAACAAATTCCCCATGTTTGTTTTGTAGGCAAGAAAACACATGGGATGTGTGTAAGTATGTTAAGAAGTCATACTCTTGTTGTATCTTGATTTTGGCTCATTCATTTGGCCATCAATGGCTTCCATAGTCCCTATAAAGTTGATTAATGAGCATTGTAGGGTTAGGAAGTATATTTGACCTATACAGGGGTATTTTGGTCTTTTATTAAACCTTTTATTTGCGATTATTGGTTAATTAATTTTTTTTTCTTTGGATTATGGAATATTAATTCCCTCGTTATAGATTGTAGGTTATTAAGCCATTGATATTACATTTGGTTATCACATTCTTTGGATATAGTTTATGATTTATTAAACTCTTTGGGTTCTGGATCATGGATTATATATCATTGTTTTTTACTATGGGTTAATATACCCTTTGCTCTTGTGATTCAAGTCTTTACTGCTATATTCTTTGGTTTGGATTGGTATCGAGTATGATGATTGCCATTATCATTACTCTAAATGAGTCAATCTCATATATTCTCACCATATAATTCCATTACCTAACTTATTTTGATTTGTGCTTAGATTGAATACTTATGAGTTGCTTATAAGATATCGTATTTTGAAGGCCTTGGTTTGTGAGGTTACTTTGTGATGTTATTAAATTGATTACTACCTTGTTTTTTTTTAAACCAAAATCAATATTTTGGTATTTAGGGACCTGGTTATGCAAAAAAGTATTTTTAAAAAATATTAGGTATGTTCCACACATGTTGAATTTAAAGTAGTTTTAAAGTAAAATAAAATGATTTATAACTCTTTTAATACTTCCCTAGCGAGGGGTGTTTCATCGCTCTATAAACAAGATCTAGTATATATACTTTGATATTTGATTCCAAAAGAACCATTAAAACCATGTCTTAAATTAAAGAGAAATGTCAAAAAAAAAAAAAAGTAAAGTATTTTCCTTCCATAGGGTACTACCATCAAGAAAGTATATATATATATATATATATATATATATATATATATATATATATATATATATATAATGTGAAAATCATAGGTTTTAAACCTAGTGAAATCGGAGGAGACAATGAGCCACTGTCACTCTCACCCAAAAAAAAAAAAAAAAAAAACCTACAACTACCTTTAACCAAGTCTAAGGCTTCATCAATTTGCATAATGACCAAACCAGAGCTTCAATTTAAATGGGATTAAGGGATGTGGATATGACTTGTTGTACTAAATATGAATTGTGGTTCATATAGAACATGGTGGAAGGTTGCTCAAAAATCGAACTGACTCGGTCATCACAACATGAGAAACCAAAGAAGTTAGATAACGGGTGGCAAAGTCGTTGTTAGTACCATTGTTACTATATTCGGGGCCATTATGATTCCCGAAAGAGTTATGTTTGTAGTGTTTTTATTTTGGTTGAATTGAAAATGGTGAAGTTGTGGAATATAAAATTATGATTCATATGTCATCGTCTCAGTTGTTGACTCTAGTTGTTGACTCTGGTAGTATGTGGAATATAGGAGGTGGATATGTTGGTCCCGCCGCCATCATCACAACAAACCCTTCAAATGAATAACCTTCTTGATCTTCTTATCAACATAATTTTTAAAGAAGATACGAAGGGAAAATATTTTATAATTTACTCTATATAATATAATGAATAAATTGTATGTGTATAGAAGGGTTAGGGTGGAAATTTAGATTCCATGTAGATCGCGTAGGTTTGCTTTCTGAACTGATATTTCTACAATATGCCCAAGTTACAAGAAATCAAATCTAGGATAATCCAAATAGACACTTACAAATCTAAGAATAGAAACATAAGTCAAATTACTAGAAGAATTTTGAGTTCATCAAAGAAGAATAAGAGCTGAGAAAAGGTTGTCCCTGACTCAAAGAGAAGAGTCGTATTTATACATGACAATTAGAGTTGCAACTAGGGTTGTCATCTTCTGAATTAGTAAAGTAATCCCGAAATTACTGGCATGATCGATGGTTTCCAAAACTGACGACATTTGCCACTTTTACCATAATCACCCACTTGAAGTCAGATTTTCCACTATGATCCTAACTCAAAATTGACGGTTTTACCCCTTGGACCCCGCTAGGGGTGCTGCCCCTAGGACCCAACAAATGGGCGCGACCCCCTTGATCCCTCCATTTTATCCTACCAGCTTATAATTTGATTTTATATATGTGCACTCCACACACATCAAACATATAATATAGAGTAAAATTTATAAACCCCTTAGCTCACATATTAGTTCTAATTACATGTAATGTATGGTGATACTAAAATCATCAACATAAATGATAAAGGAAACAAGAAAAATCGATGAATGAAATAGAAGGGGTAAATTGGTCATTTCATAGTAGTTAACTCTTATTTTTAACGGAATTATCTAAAATGACCAGCCATACAAAATTTTGAAACAATAAAAACCAATTGTTTAATGTTTCACAATGTTATCTTGAAATTGATATATTCTGAAAACGAATAAAGGAGTGATACCATTCATGAAATGGATAATAACTTTATATGGAATGAATTCATGTTTGTACATATCAAGTCACTTTTATATATCTTTTATATATGTTATATATGATTTACCATTAAATTTATATTTGTTGTTCAATAAATACCACATTGATTGGCTATTGCAACTGTAATCGGTCTACATGTCCAAGAAACTTCATTACACTCACATTTGTTGTTTAATAAATACCATTAAATTCATATTTTATACATTATTTACCATTAAATTCACTTTTGCACACGTTTAGTCACTTTCATGTTTTATGGTCATCATCAATTTTCCGACCCTTTTCTCCTTTTCTCCGGCCAACACAATTCCAAAGAAGAAGGAAAATACCATTTTAGATGTTCGATTTTTAAAAACATTGCAAAACGTACAATCTCCTTATTCCCATCTTCGGTGAAAATGGCCCACCCCTCCTTTTACTACTGCGAACATTCCTCATGTCGCCGCTCGCATATTTCCCTACTCATCTACCTCTCCTGCTATTTTTTTAAAACCACCCTACCCCCCACATCCATCTCCCTCCATTTTCTTCATGAGATTTGCATTGATTTTGTTGTAGTTTGAAGCTGATTTTAGAATAGTTTATTGGTGGTGGTGGTGGTGGTGGATGGTGGAGAGGAGTGGTTGTTGTGGTGAATGACAATAATAGAAGGTAGTGCTTGTTGCTAGATGTGGACAGTGTTTGCTGATGTGTACGATGTTGGTCGAAGAAGATGAACGAAACATAGTTTATTAGTAAATTGTGTAAAAATATAACGTGTAATATAATACCCAATTGAAATGATATTTCATAAACAATAAATTTATTTGTTAGTAAATTATGTAAAATAATATAAAAAACTACCAAATATATAAAAAATAATAATAATTTATTACCCTACCAAATAAATTATGTCTATTTATTATAACCTTATCATACTAAATAACGACAAAGTCAAAATCTAGGTAAATTCTCTACAAGGGTGAGATGATCATATTTATGACGATCACAGGATAATAGTTATTCATCATGCCCTGATAATGATACATTATTTTGAAGTTGACAATTACAACACTCTTTGAATTAAATATGAATAGAATCAGGTACTCATGGTCCCATTATTGTCCAGGGGAACATCCGATTAAGAGGAAGGGACCACCGATATAACCGATTTTGAAAATAAACGGGAAAAGGTTATATAATTACATATTTTTACCTTACAAATATTCATAAGAAATTAAGGTCAAAAACCAAAGCCTAAAAGTAATTGTTTTTATCTAAATTAGAAATTGCCTTTTCCCCATTTTACAATGGGGAATATCCATAATTTTCAATTGTCTTTGTCAAAGTCATAAACTCCAACTAGATGCATTCTAGCGCTGGTCAGAAATGGTGTTGTGTGGGTCGGAATGGTGCATCTGGATTGGAATCAATGTTGAAGTATAATATTATAATAGGAGGATGAAAATAGACATAGTTATGAAAGTAGGTTGCTATTTCTTGTATTTAACTAAAAATTAAATGCAGAAATAACAGATTACTTGTAGTTGAATAAACAACCCTCAAACCTATCTAATACAAATGATGAATTTGAATTCAACAATCCTATCAAGATGATGATCTTCATCTCGCTTCATTTGTCAATGTCCTCCTATTTAATGGCCTGTAACACACACACACACACACACACAAAGCAATTGTTTTTAGATGAGAAACCATATGGTTTATAAATACTTGGTATTACTTATCAACAGCAAAATTATGAATAAATAAAATATAAAAGCCATTAGCAAATTATAATACCAAAATTATCCAAGCAAAAAAAAATATAAAACCCGATGCTCGTATTTTACCTTCATGACTATCAAAAAAACATCTTCATTCATCATTTCAAATCACCACCAACCACTATAAAAGGCTACAACTTTTGCAAATACAACCATCATTCACACAAAAATGGAATGTTGTAACATACTAATATAACCATTTTTATGTATCGACTGGAAGAAGCCATTGTGTAACGAAACTCCAGCAACAGTTTCCAATTCTGTAAACAATCCAACCATGTTGCAAAAGACTTTTGTTCATCATTATAGCCTTCATAGCTGCCCTGGTATGGAAAAGGTTTCTCGACAACAAAAGTGTAAAATGTATGTGAAACATACTTTAATGATTAACTAAGCAAAGAAAGTCCAGGTTTTGATACGATCCACATGAATTTTAGGCATGGAAATTTCATAGAATTGTTTCTGTTTTTTTTTTTTTTTGATTAATTAATTTAACATGGATAAATGAAAGTACATTGTTGTTATAAAACCATTCTACTTTTAAAAGTTGTGTAACTTGCAACCATTCCTGCAATTTTATATGCAGTAACCATTTATGTAACATACTTTATTCTTGTAGTGGTAGAATGGTCATTTTCTAAAATAAATGGAATATCCTTCGAAAAGTGTATCCATTTATAGCAATGAAAATTGTTTTTTTTTTTTGATAACATTGCTATAAAACTGGAAGTAGAATAGTAAAACATATGAGAACATGAAAGAACACTATTACCGTCTTCTTATTTTTTTGTCAATTAATAACATTTTATATTCAAATTTCTTCTATACAGGTTGTTTCACATATCAGATGACTTTGGAATTCCGTTGAACTGATTGATAGTTATTTATTTATTTATTTTAATAATATGAAGAACACACCTGTCCTCCGGTGAGAGTGGGAAGATCTTGCAGGTTTCCATTTATGTTCTCACCAAATCCAAGAGCTTTAATGGCAGAAACCTATATTAAAAAAAAAAAAAAAAAAAAAAAAAAAAAAAAAAAAAAAAAAAAAAAAAACAGTTAGTTCATAACCAAAGAACAAAATCTGTTTTATAAACAATAGAAACCTTAATGCCAACACAAAGCTTGTTGAGAATGAAGGTAGCCAATGCTTCAGTCTCCACATCTTCAACAACAATTAGTAATGGTCTTTGTTTCTGGATTAAAATAAAAAAACATCAATATATAATCGCATAGCATATTTCAAAATGAAATAATCATTTTCAGCATATGTAATATAAATAATTATTTAACTTTTTCATATAACATCATTATTTGCTAACCTGCATCCGGAAGAAACACTTGTGATCAGCTGTCTGAAACTTTAAAATGTAAACCCTTCCAGAACCTTCGCCAATCTTCTAAAAAATTGCCTCTTCAGGAAAAACAATTTGATCCAATGTTAATTTGTGTTAAAGAAAATTGGAATCTTGTAGAAGCTTAGCAAAATTGTGAAACTTTCAGCAAATAGAATTTTTAGAAACAACCATGTTGGGATATAAGCTTAAGATAAAGTGCAAAAAGAAAGAAAAAAGAAACTTGTAGTTTGGTTTTGTTGATTTTTAGGTTTTTTTTTTTTTTGTATATGTATGTTTACATCAACAAAGCTAAAGGGGACTTTTAGTTGTTTACCAATTCAAGCATGCATAGATTGGTATTCTAACAGATTGAGTCATACATCAATGAAAATTCCACTTCTATTTGATATTTTGGTAAAACTGCTTTCACTCTGTTGCATAAATAACTCAGTAATTTGAAAAAAAAATGGTGATAATGGAAACTGAATCAAGTAAAATATTGTTTTAAGTGGAACTATATATCGCGATGAGAGATAAGAATAAGATACCTTGAGGGTTTTGAGCAAGGCCACCCACTACAGGGGTAACTATTTCAGCTGAAATCATTGCCACAATCTTACATGATAGAGCCCCTTGATGCCCTGCTTTGAGATAACATGAGCTCTAATAAGTTTATGCATGTTTAATACTTCATAAAAATTTAATGCCCAAAATTGCTCTAAGCACGGGAAGGAAATGACTCTGCCAGCTGGCGATTATCTTCAAGAAATTTGAACACAATACTGAATGAACTGAACTTAATAAACAAAACTGCAATGTATGTTTCTAAGAGCTAAGGGTCCAAACTCCAAAAGAAATAAACATACAAAATTCAGAAATCATATCATAAAGTTGTCAGTGTAATACCATGAAAATAAGATAAGATGTTGTACCTTTAGGATTCTGTTGTCCACCAGTAGTATTTTTGTTAGCAGCTGGACCAATGAGCATAGGTCTGGTTGAGCATAAGCTTCCATTCATCTCAGTCATGACGCGTATTTGTTCAGTTTCATCTCCAAATTTGACAAATCCATAACCTTTTGTGTGCCCTGTCATTCGATCAGTTACAGCTTTTGCACTTCTTACAGATTGATAATGAGCCCTAAATGTCTCCTGTAATGTATAATCTGTAACATCAGCTGCCAAGTCCCCAACAAATATGGTGAAATCAGGTGAACCATCTGCACGTTTTTCACCAACACCAAGAGAAGCCCAGTTCAGCCTGAAGTTCTGCAACACCACGGTTAACCCTAAAAGCACAAAAGCATTTATATAGAGAGAGGTGCGACAGAGAGTTAATTGAAAATAACCCTAACTTAATCAGTCAAAATTGAAATCATTAGATGTTTTTTACCTAGCTATCAAAGTTTTCTGATCCCTTAATACCAGCGATGTGTTGAATCGATTGCTGAAACTTTGTCGATTCGTAAAGAAGCGATCGGGTTCAATAGAGAAGAAGTGAGAAGAAGAATCGAGAGTGTAATAAATCGATTGGGTAAAGAGGCGGTGATCGGTGGTAAAAGAGAAGATGACACGTCTGTTGAATGAAAGAGAAGACAACACGTTTGCCGAATGAACAGTGACGTAGTCGACCCATGGACTGAACATTAAGCACTGTTATTCTTGCAAGGACCAAATTGTCATTTAAATAAATAGGTGGACCAATTCCGATTTACAGCAAATGAAAGGGACCAATTATGCCATCCCCTAATGCAGTTTACTGTTAAAAATTTTCACAATCTTAATATATATTAGGTAATGGTCATTTTCTAACTTTTTTTTAAACGTATGGACCGTTGTTGTGAAAAATATTCGGCACACGAACATTTTCTATAAATTATAAGGATATTTTTGAAATTTATTTTCTATAAATAGACCAAAGCTTCCAACATATTACATATGAAAGTCTTGTGTCGAGAATGTCAAACCAAAAAGTACACTGTTTAAACATATGGACCATTTTTGTAAAAGAAATTGCAAATGAACCTTTTTTTATAAATTATGAGGACAAATTTTATAATTTATTTTCTTACATAGAGACTAAACATACCAACATGCTAAATTATTGTGGCTAAATTTTAAAAACCCCAAAACATACTATTCAAGACACTTGATTTTTATTATATATAATAATTATGTTTTTACTTAATATACAAATAATAGATTAAATCATGCTGATCATATTTATTGTTTTTAATAAAATAATAAAAAAAGTCTAATCATCAAAATAATCACCGATTTTGTAGACACTATTTTTTTTGTTGAACAACTAGAAGATTTTATAGAGAAGTTATCGCAAATACTAATTTTCATATTCCTATGCACGATCCAACTACAGGAATAATCAATTATTCTACCGATCAACAAATTTCTTCTAAAATTGTGACCATCGAAAAGAATATCATTGCGGAAATTCCAAAGGAGCCACTACATAATGACAATTATTAGCCTCTAACACCATTCGTTGGACATTAGAAAGTCAAGATGCCTCAATCCGATGCACGACATCCGCGATACTGACAAAAGCCGGAATGATCAAATCACACTATCTTCCCATGAAACTCCATATGGTCGAGTCCGCCTGACAAGAGATGAAAATATGCTCCAAGTCTTACATGTCAGAGTCGCAAATACCACAAATAATGGAAGGAATACCAAAGCCTTTCACGTCCAAATTAACTCGAGTACAAATCTCATGTAACCGAACATGCCAATAAAAAAGCATCAACTTTACGATGGAGATACTTAATCCCTCTAGTGGATATATTACCCTCCCAAAGAGTTGTCTCATCAATACGTCTTCTAACTTCCGCTACAATAAAAGAGTCTAAACCACACAAGTTCTAATTTTATCTATTAGCGAAAGCCAAATAATGAAAGCCATGAAGTAAGTCAACAAATCAAAACAAATTCAGGGTTTCGGCCCATTCGTACATATGCACTTGATTTGTCGTTCTCTCTTTTTTATTACCATATATAATTTAATGAAAGAACTTCATGTTTTCATCACCTTCAACATCCCACTTTTTTCTTGCATTTTGTTTTAGGTATAGTCTCTTTATCCAATCTATCTCAAAAGAAATTGTTTTTCCAATTTCTTCTTTGAAGACGTTTTGATGATGATAACAGTCTAGACTCAACATTTAACTTTGAAATCATTTATTTTGTTGGAGAGATCAGTAAATCCAGGGCGCTCCACATTCTGAGAATTGTTCCTCCAAAATCATAGGGCATATTTAACCGCCCTCAATTTCTTTGCTAGAATTTGATCAGCGTGACCCGAGTAAGAAAGCCTAGAAAATGTGAGTTGTATACCTAAAACATAACACAACACCCAATAATTAAAATTTTTAAATGGAATTGGCCCAAAATTGGGACATGTTGTAACAAGAATTACTAGAGTGTGATCATAATGTAGCCCCATAGAGCTAAAACATACGTAGCGGCCAAACCGGTCAGACAATTATCAGACTCCAAAATTCAATCTAATTTACTAAGCATGTAGTCGTAGTTGTAGCTGGTGGTAACAGAGCATGTGGTCAGTGTTGGTGGCGACAGACGGTGGTTGGAGTTGATGTTGGTGGAGGGGGATGGGGTGGTGGTGGGTTGTTAGCATTTGGTGGTGGTGTTCTTGAATGTTAAGAGATGGAGAGGGGGAGAGGTACATGGAGAGAAAGGTATCTTAGACATTTCATATATTCATGTTGGTAATTAATGGTATTAGTCATAAGGATTTGTGGGGTTATAACTTTTATCAAAAGAGACCATTGATATAAAAAAACCATAAAGACCTTTGTAAAAAAATAAACTCAATCATAAGGACCATTTTGAAATAGTTTCTACCAATATACATTATTTTTTCCATATATTATCTAAAAAAGAAATCTTCAATAAAGTCATAATATTTTGGGTTAGTTTACGGTTTAGTCCCAAATTAAATTTTGTTTACAAAAAAAGATAGATTACTGGCTAAAACTTCGAAATAACCCTTTGTGGCTAGTTTCACAGATTTAGCCGATATCTCGTCTTTTTTTGTTAATTGATCCAAATTTTTGGGCTTTTTCATTAATTGATCAAAATTTTAAGGTTTTTCATTATTTTTTACCAATAACCAAAATATTTGGATTTTTCTAAAGATTACCTTTAAACTAATGTATATTATATGAAGTAAGTTAATATGTACCATTCCTCGTCTTTTTTATTGCGCTCTTTCTAGGCTCACCGTGTGTTTTCGTCGTCGTCGTCGAAACCAACAACAAAAACTCGCTCACAAGCATCATTAACTTCATCGATTTTTTCAAAATCATCTTGTAACATCTGGTCCAGGTATAAATCAACTTTTATGTATAAATTTTAATTGGTGTGGGCACGACGTGGTGGAGCATCACCACGATGTGGCGAAGCGTTTTGGATCGCGGGATTTAAATGACCTGTCACGACGTGGTCTTGGGCACTACGACGTGGTAGGTGTTTTAGTGAAAACCCTAATTTCGGGCTTTGGACCCTATATAAAGGACATTAAGGCTAGGGTTTCAGCCTCCGTTTTCCTCCCAACCTCAGAAACCCTAGCCCTAGCCTCCATTAAAGTTGTAAGCTCATTCTTGGTGCCTTTTGGTGATTTTTGAAGGAGAATGAAGCTCTTGGTGTGGTGGCTACTTGGAAAGCATCATTTCCCCAGCTAGCATATCCCCTGGATCTTAGTGAGTGTCCAAGATTCAGCCTTTTTCTTACCATGTTGCTAGATCTTTGGATTTTATCCCCTTTTTCCATGACTTGATGGATTAAAGTAATGAGATCTCATAAAGTTTGCAATTTTATGAATCTCCAGATCAAGTAGAGTATTTAGTGTCTTGGATCTGAATTATAATCGAGTTCTGATGTCATGCATGGGGTTTTGGTCATAAAACCCTATTTTTGACCAAAAATGGAAAAGGTATGCATTGGACATACAAGTCCATAAAGCCACGATTTTTAAGGTCCCTTAGGAGCATGAAATCCTTCTGGAAACTTTGGAGGTGCAACTATAAGGATTGGGTGCTTAATAAGAGTCTTGATTCCTTAAGTTGCCATTAGAGGTTAGGGTTGGGACTTTGGCTTATAGTGGGTTTTGAGGGATAAAGTTGGAAACTTTATCCATAAAGACCATAGGAATGACTAGATATGAGCTTTGGGAGCTCAGATAGTTGAAGGAAACGACTTAATGGTTTAAGCTGTCCAGACTCATCACCACGATGTGGTTAAGGTTACCACGACGTGGTGACTTGGTCAAGACCCCGCCTGTTTTGTCGGTTTGTGGCCACGACTTGGCGACTAGTTATGTTGAATTTGACCAAGTTTGACCTAAGGGTATTTTGGGCATTTGAGTTGTGGACTATGATTTGGTCACTATTTTTGTTGTAAAGGTGATTGGTAGAGTTCGTATTCAGAGTAGCGTGTTGATCATCTATCTTTTCAGACCGAGAGGTGAGTTTTCCCTCACTGTACTCGTGGGTCGAAGGCACCAATTTCGGCCCACTGAATCATATATTATGGTTAGAGGATGTTGTTATGTTGTATTAAAAAATGCTAGAATTGAGTCCTGATATATATAGGATATTGCTATGCGGTAGTGATCTGTAGATCTGTCTGTTTTTTGGAACTGATTTTATGCTATTTGTTATGTATATGTCGACATGTTATGGTTTGGGGTTGAGGTTTACTGCTTTGTGTGTGAGCCAATAGACCGGGGTATTCCAGTCCGATGACTGAGTGGACTCGAGGGTATTCCAGTATGATGACTGAGCATACCCATGTATATAGGCATTCCTGTCTGATGACTGATTGGGCCGGGGGTATTCCAGTCTGATGACTGATTGGACCCAATATTCAATGTTGTATATGTTATGTTGTGTGGTGGTACTTTGGGATAACACACTAAGTTTTGGCTTACAGTTTCAGTTTATTGTTTCAGGTACTTCTAGTGATTGTGGCAAAGCGAATACGTGATCATACACATGCTTCGAAGATATATTTTGGGAGACTTTATGATGTTCTGGTCTTGGGGAAATATTTGTATTTATGGTTTAGGATTGAAAACAATGGTTTCTTTTAATTTAAAAATGAAAAAAATTATCCTGTTTTTGGGATGTTACACATCCATTTACAACTTTGCGATTATCTCCCCACTTTGCAGTATAGTCAATGAAATTCGCAACTCTAGAAAACTATCCAGTTAGGACACCACACCTTCTCAGAATCCATTCCCTAGAAGTTGTGGCAAAATTGCAATCGATGTCGACACATTTTTGTGTCCAATTTAAAATATGCAGCTAGGGTCTATTGAACATATTTATTGATTATGAGTGTGACTTGATTTCTTCCATTTAGCATTAGGTTGGTCATTGGTAGGGGTCGATATCCTATTAAGTGTCTTTTTATGCATATTTGTTCATATTTTCTACACTAATTTCTATTGCATTTTATGCATTTATCTCATACTTTGCATATCATTTTGTGGAAAACATACTTTGGTGGAGCACAATCTACTTTGGGGCATTTTTGGTTGTGTTTGTAGGTTTAGAGTGGTTGTGGGTTGATTTTGGATGCTAAAGGAAGACCGGGAGATGATTTTGGATTCTAAAGGAAGAACGGGTGATGATTTTGGACATTAAAGTAGAAGTTGGAGAATGCAAGATAGCAACTCCAACCGGCCGTGATGAGTTTGCAAAGGAATACCATGCGGCCGTGATGAGGCAGATTGTAGAGGCTCTTCATGGACCACACGGTCATGTTGTTTTTAGCCTATCCAGTAGCACGACCGTGTCGACGCGAAAACTGCTTGTAACCACCTCCTTTAAACACGAATTTTGGGTCATTTTGACCACAAACTTCATTTTGGGGACGATTTTTTGGAGCATTTTGAAGGAGAATTCAACTATTTTAAGTGAAAAGCATTAATTTCTTTTTATTGTAAGTTTGATTTGACATTTACATCTTATATTACTTGAAAACTTCGTAATTATGTATGGCTAAATCTTACCAATTCCAACATTAGGGTTTATCTTTTGAAGTATGGTTCAAACTTTTATGTGAAGTAATTATGTTAGATCTTATTGAATGCTTTGTTTGTATGTTTTCTTGTATTCAATTCCGGATTATGTTTGGAGACATTTTAGATTATTAATGAAAAATTGATCACTTTGTTAATTTTCTACTACCGTTCTTAGCTACAATTAATGGTGTTGTTTTTGTCAATGAATTCAATTCCATTATAGATTCATACAATATAATTAAAGCATTCCAAACGGCGTGAATGGCTTATAATAATTGACATTTCCATCGTCATCATTGCAATGTGTATCCTAAGATCAGAACTACTAGAACTTAGTGTAACATATTAGATTTAATCAATGACATGCATTTGGTTAAGTACATATATAGAAGATTGTTAGAACAACTAAACATCACGTGTCAATACAATTTATTCTTCATAAGATCATTGCACCATAATTATTGATGATCATAACTTGAATCATAAAAATAGATAACCCTTATGTAGGAATGCTTTTTATTATTTGAATTTATTTTTTAATACGCTTAATGCTAGATGTAGTTTTTCTAAAATCACCCCTCTCCTTGTTTTTATTTTGTTTAAGTGACAATCATACTTGTAATTGAACATCTTTAGTATAATTTGTTAGTCCGTTTCCTCGAGGACACGAACCTTACTTCCATTCATACTAATCATTAGTGTGTTTAAGTTGGTTCATCTTTTATTATACTTTGATAGTTTATTTTATTGGATTCGACACTCTAACATATCTCATCATATGTTATAGCATGTGAATGACTTTCGTGGGTATATCATTTGAATATTAATAATGCTCCAAGGAAATACTTGAGAGCGGTTGCCACTATTACGTTTTAGTTTATTTGGGGCTTCAAAATGCTTTAGTTTTTGGCGAGAAAAAAAAACCGATAAATGAACTTTTTGATAAAGATCGGAACACAATCTTATTGATGGATAGCGCGTAAATATACCAAATTAATCTACTCTAATAAATAAAGATTTTTTTTGTCATATGTCACACTCTCATTCATTTTGCCACATGTCATTTTGTGGTTATTTTAAATTAAATTTTTCCACATGTCATTTTATGGTTATTTCTATTTTTTAAATTCCACATAATATTTAAATATATTAATTATAATAAATTAATTTAATAAATAAAGATCTTTTTTGACACATGTCACACTCTCATTCATTTTGCCACATGTCATTTTGTGGTTATTTTAAATTAATTTTTTTCTCCATGTCATTTTATAGTTATTTCTATTTTTAAATTTCACATAATATTTAAACGTATTGATTATAATAAATGTATATTAATTTCATTAATGCAATTTTCTTTTAATTTCAAAATTCCTAATTAAAGCCTAATTATTTCCTTTGGCTTTTTTTTTACGATTAGAGTTAACATTCTTCATGGTTTTCGATACATAATACTGAATTGAGTTTTTTTACCCATGTTGAGTTTTTTAAGCTCGATGGTCCATTCTTCATGGTTTTCAAGCCCGTTTGTAGGAAAACGAAGGACAAGTAAGACTTGAGCCAATGTATCAATGGTTGAACCATGTGTAATTTGTCATCTGTTGTTAACAACACTATAGCCAACACCATTAGTGTATGGGTTCGAACCATGGTTCGCGTTATGGTTAGGTAATAGGAACATCCGAGTGTTGGAACCATGGTTCAAGTCATGGTTAGGTAATAGGGATATCCACGTGATCAGCAAGGATTTTCTCTTTTCTTCATTTGAAGATTGAAAGATGATCGCGGAGTTTGTGAATGGATGATTTTGGAAAATCAGTGGAGTTAACGATACTTGTGAGTGAGCTTTTTGTTGTTGGGTTCGACGACGACGACGGTGAAAACACACAGTGAGCCTAGAAAGAGCGCAAGAAAGAAAACGGAGAATGATACATGTTAACTTAGATCATATAATATACATTAGTTTAAAGATAATTTTCAATTAAATCCAAATATTTTGGTTATTGGTAAAAAATAATGAACCCCCAAAATTTTGATCAATTAATGAAAAATTCAACGAGATACCGGTTAAATCTGTGAAACTTGCTACAAAAGGTTATTCCAAAGTTTTAGCCGGTAATCTATATTTTTTGTAAACAAAATTTAATTTTTGACTAAAGTGTAAAATGACTTAAAATATTATTTTATTGAGTAAAAAATCGAAACTCATTAAAACTTGTATTCAAAATTTGCGTGCGGGAAACCGAAAGAAACTTTTTGGCCTATTGGAAAGCTTAAAGCAGTTAAAAATAAATTTTTGTACTTTGATTTTTGTTTTATATATTTTTTTGGTAACACATTATTTAGAGACGTATGTATTATGTAGCATACTAGAATACTAGAATTTTTATATATTAAAATTTGATATGCTTTATTTCTTATGATAAATCAAACTTTAAATAATATAACGAATTAATATTACTAATAATTATCTTTTTATTATTTTATTTATTTATTTTGTAGTTCATCATATAAGTTTTGTGATGTTTTGATGATTTTTTTTAATATTTATTTAGTATTTTTATTTTATTTATAAGCTTAAATTTAAAATCGAAATCGGTAACTAATCTGTTTTTTTATATATATATTTACATTCATGAGCAGAAGATTTCCAAAGATAAAGAAATCAACAAAACCGAAGAAAAATATTAAATTTCAAATATCAGCAACTCGTGTTTCTTGAATTTCAGATATGGGCACAAAGAAAATGGTGACTTTTGCTCTTTGAAATTTCTACTGTGTGCGTTTTTTCCGGAGCTTCCCTTCGTTTTTTTCTTCCATCTCTTCTACTCTTGTGTCTGCTAATTTTCTTTCTCAAGTTTCCATAAAAAAATATCACATCTTTCTTCCATCTGATTGGAGATTTGAACAATGTGTTCGATAATCGCAACCGGGTATCTCTCTATTTTGTCCCTTCTTCTGTTTCTAATCTGAAATTAGTTGCCTTTTTCAATTAGTTTATTTATATTTTGAACTTGGTTTGTTTGTTTATTTTTGTATTTTCCTCTTGGATTCTTTCATTAATGGCCGATATATTTAACAGAACTCGATAACCATAAAACTTTATCGTTTATGGTTGATACTTGAGATGGGTATGTATGAATGTGATCTTTGTTGCTCGTTCGTCTTTCACTTGCCTTTGATTGTTGCTTACACAGATGGGTTTTTGATAAAATAAAACAGTTCTTCAGCAAAACCCTAGATTTTCAAATCCGTTAGAATATTGTTACATTTTAATTTAGGGTTCTTTTTGTGTTGCGATTTTGTTTATTTGGCCACTTCGGTTCAATTTCTCTGCAAAAATGGCAATTTACACACCCAGTTGGAGTAAGTCCGTGTATTCTTTTGTTGTAAAAAATCGTTATCTAGGGTTTGACCTTTTTTCATCTTCTTTTAAATGAACCCCATATCATTTCTTCATTTTTCTGGGAATTATTTGATTAAAATTTGCGAATTTGATGAATAAATTTAGTTTTAATGTCAGATCTGATTTTACCTTTCGGGGTATGACCTGTCCTGTGAATAGTTTAGACCAAGAATCGATTTTAATTAACTGGTTTTCTTTCAATTTCACCTACTTTCTTGCCAAATGCAGAATATTAGTTTATTGATGCTAAGAGTTTCATATTTGAATATTGACATTGTTGTTGTGCCTATCATATTTTCCATTTGTTTTTTTCCCTTAATCATTGGTGTTAAAAGTAGGTAACTAATCTAGAAAGTGACAAAAAAATTGATGATCATTTGGTTGTTGAGCAAGATCTATTTAGCTGTCTGTAATCATATCTTCTTAATGCAATGATTAAATAAGTTTAAATCGATTATCTTATGCTTTTTATCAACTCTTAATGAGTGTGATTTATTTCATGATAAAACATGTCGATGCTGTTTCATAGTGTTATTAAAGATGGTTGGTGGGTGAATATTTATAGCACTTAAAGTGGTTTAGAGTTTCACCTACCATTTCTTTGGAATTGCAACATTTCCATTCTGGGTTAAAGATTCTTATTGATGCTATTATTGAAGGGTATTTTAGACATTTAATTAACAACTTAATGTTAGTTTCAAGTGTTTGAGTAAAAGTGATTGTGATTATAAACTATGATTCCTTGACAGATGCCGGCTTCATTTTTCAATTGCTTTTGTCAATTGCATAGTAGAGACATTTGGTCAAAATTCAGAAGATTTAATATTCAATTTTTTTATATATATTTATATAAATTATGTTTAACAGATGCTACCTGTGCCTTTTGAGAGCAACAACAATCAAGTGAAATCAGCAAATATCATCAGGATTCCAATGGCTCCAGGTGGAGGTGTTTGCAAAGATGTTATTGAATCTCACCCTAAAACTTTAAAGTATGACGTGGCAACAACAAAGATGGATAAAAACATTACAAGGGTAGCTACTGGAAAACATGGAATACAATCAACAAATGGTGTTCATGAGCTTCTTGAATGCCCTGTTTGCACTACCTTAATGTATCCTCCAATTCATCAGGTTAGTAAAATCGGTTTCCTACAAACAAATTTCACAAGAATTTATCAAATATTTATGAATACAATTTTTTTGAGTTTTTGTATTTGTTTTCATTGTAGTGTCCAAATGGGCATACTTTATGCTCAAACTGTAAAGTTCGAGTGCACAATTGTTGTCCAACATGTCGAGTTGAAATGGGGAACATACGATGTTTAGCATTGGAAAAAGTAGCAGAATCTTTAGAACTCCCATGTAGACACCAAAATCTTGGATGCCATGACATCTTCCCTTACTATAGCAAGCTAAAACACGAGCAGAATTGCCGATTTCGCCCCTACAATTGCCCTTATGCTGGATCCGAATGCTCAATCACGGGTGATATCCCGTATCTTGTCACACATCTCAAGGATGATCATAATGTGGACATGCATGATGGATGCACTTTCAATCATCGATATGTCAAATCTAATCCACATGAAGTTGAAAACGCAACATGGATGTTAACAGTAAGTAACTAAACCGATATCTTGCTTATGATAAGGGTATTTTTGGAATATCATTTATTTTTTGGATGTAGGTGTTCAATTGCTATGGACGACAATTTTGTTTGCACTTTGAGGCATTCCAGCTAGGAATGGCTCCGGTGTACATATCATTTTTAAGGTTCATGGGGGAGGATAGTGAAGCAAAGAAGTTTAGCTACTCATTAGAAGTTGGAGGGTATGGACGTAAATTCACATGGCAAGGGGTTCCAAGGAGCATACGCGATAGTCACAGGAAAGTGCGCGATAGTCAAGATGGATTAGTGATTCCAAGGAACTTGGCATTGTTTTTCTCGGGTGGAGAGAGGCAAGAACTCAAACTAAGAGTTAGTGGAAGGATTTGGAAAGAACAGTGAGAAGAAACTCAAAATGTGTATATTACTTTTGGTGGCTAGATTGGTTTATTATGAGAAAACAAACCCTAATGGGGATTGGATTGGGAATCTTGTGATCTTTTGTTTTAGTATTATTAATATGGAACTGTGAAATGTTGGAATGATATGGTTTATGTATGAACCAAATGATCATGTAATCTTATAATTTGTTGCGGGATTTGAATGCTTATTTGCATTTTGCACTGTGGTGAAGTCAGAAAGAGGTCTTTTTTTACATATTTGTTGAACTTGCAAAGACATGATTTGGATGCTTACGAGTGATCATTTCCCAAGTTATTTTTTTATATATATTTTAATAAATTACTTTGGAAAATGTTTTTTTGTTGGTTGATGAATAAGATTTCAAAATTATTTACAATTTTTGTGGGTTTTTCGATTGTGGAAGATTAATTGCAAAATAATAATAACACACAAAAATACATGGAAATAGAGAGTTAAGAGTTACAAGAACCGATTCTTGAGTTGTATCTATTTCTTTTTAACGGATAAGTTTTACTCCCTCCGTCTTAAAATTATATGTCCCAAAATATCATTTCATTATTACTTAACCAACTAAGCATTTAATTGAACATTAAATACAAAGTAATGACAAATCTGTCATTTTATTGTATAAAGTTAGTGATAATTAATGTTTTTTTAATTTGTGTGTTTTTTGTCCGTGGACAATAATTTTAGGACGGAGGAAGTATTAAATTAACAAGGAGCTAGTAAACAAAACAACATTACAAAAACCGAGACACGATCCTATCAAAAGCAGGGACGGTTTTGCTTGGTGTCCAGGTGTGGCACCGGCAACACCTACTTTTCCTGTCCGCATTGGAAAAAATTTCGATTTTTTTGGTTTTTTACTTATTTTTCATGCACCGGCAACACCTCTTCAACCTCGGCAACACCTCCTATGGATTCCTGCGTCCGTCCCTGATCAAAAGATCATCTTTTTAACCCAAAAACCACATAACTTCAAAATATCTAATTACCCTATAAGCCATAATGTTGTTAAAATCACCGCATTCATTTTCAAGCACTGTATATGTTTATTAAGACCCGGGTTATCCACTTAAAGAAAGTCATTCTCTTATTATACTACCAACTACCAAGAGAATAATAATATCCCACCAATACTCAATTATTTGTCTTCGGATATAAGAAGCCACAACACAAAAATAAAAGACAAAATTGCATGTGGATTGTCAAAATTGAGATTTTGGTCCAAAAAGTTTTGGATTGTACCGGTGGTCCAAAATAAAAAAATTATTGCGATTTTGGTACTTGGTAACTGTGAAAGTACTATTTTGCCCTTATCATTTTATTTTTCTATTTCTTTTATTTACTTAATTATTTTTAGAATTAAAAAAAAAATTAAACATTCCACCTAATAACCCCATGCAACATAAACCCTTCATCTTCTAACACACACACTTTTCTTTCTTCCCACCAACGGACAACCGTAAATCACCACCATTCTTGCCGGAAACCAACGCCAAATCGTCGTCACTTTCTCGATTCGTCTTCTCCATTGGAAATCACCACCATTATTGTTGGAAACCAACGCTAAATCGTCGCCACCTTCTCGATTGGTCTTCTCCATCAAAAATCACCACCATTATCGACAGAAACCATCACCAACTTCGCCATTCTCACTATTAATCAGTCGCCACCACCACAATTCAATGTTGCATCCACCACCTTCGTCTTTCTCCTTATCCGGCGAGCCGCCAGTGATTAGGGTTTTCAGCATATCCTCTAGTGTCGTCGTCCTCATTTTCTGAAACCTTAGTGTCGTCGTCGATCTTGTAAACGACGAACCCCAAACGTCGTTGGAAAATCGAGGGAGATGGAGATCCTCTGAACCAAAGAAGAAGAGAAGAAGGTGATGTTCGCCGATCTAAGTCGGAGAATAAGATAGGTTTGCCCAGATTTAACCCTCACTGTACCTGCCTAGATCTAGCCCAAACTTCGACGTTGGCAGAATGTATGTGTGTTGATTATGGATACCTTGTAATCTGGGTTTTATATTTTAGGTTTGATCTTCATCTTTTTAAGAAAAAACGAGATCTTCATCAGGTTTCAGATCTTCAACCATTATGTATTTCTGACATTTCTTTCCTTGATTTTTGAATTTTATGTATTTCTTTCCTTGATTTTTGAATTTTATGTATGAGATGAACACAAGATTAACTATGGAAATATAATATGATGCTTTTATGTGTATGTTTGTGTTGAATCTAGTTCAAATCTTCATCTGGAAATGGTTTCCAAATCTTCATCTATTTCATCTTTGTATGTGTGTATTAATAAGGAAGAAAGTGCGATGGTGAGGGTTTAGAGATTTGATAGTTCTTGAGATTTGTTTAAGTTCATCAGATAATGGTGACTAGTGGACAGTGATGGTGGCGACGATGGTGACCAGTGGTAGCGGCGATGGTGACCGGCGGTGGTGGTGGTGGTGGCAGACCGACGATGGTAGTCTAAGAGAGAGAAGGGCGGGTAGTATTTTATTTCTTATTTTTTTTTAATTGTTGTAATAAAAGGAAAATGAAAAAACAAATTAAAATGAGTAAATTCGGCATTTTGAAAAAATTAAAAGTCTTTTGAACCAAACTTACAACAAAATAATTTTTTTGGACCAGTAGTGTAACTCCAAAACATTTTGGACCAGAGTGTTGATTTTTAACAAACCACAAGAACCAAATTTATAACAAACTTGCAACAAAATAATTTTTTTGGACCGATAGTGTGACTCCAAAACATTTTGGACCAGAGTGCCGATTTTTAACAAACCACAGGACCAAATTTATAATTTTGTCAAAATAAAATATATGGTTAGTCGTCTCCATAATAATATCCCACCAACACTCAATTTACTTTTTCTCTCCCAAAATTCTTACTTTTATTTTATTATATTCACCAAAAAAAACAAAAACCCAAAATGTCTTATAAGTTTTGTTAAACACTTTAAACAAATTCAAACAGTTTCTTTTTGACTAATCATGCCGGACGTGAAATATGTATTAAATTGAAGGTCATGCTCACAAGCATATGGTTTTTATATGATTTTAGATTTCTTTTAATAATCAACTAATTATTTTTAGTTTTTAATTTATACAACAAAGTAATCTTCTATACAAATTATGAACATTTCATTTTAAGACTAAAAGATGCCACGTTTTATTAGTGACATGTTTAATGATCGGTTGATACCGTGTGGTAATTGTATAAATACATATAATATTTAATATTGTTACTGAATTGATAAAGAAAATCAAATATTGTTGCATCGATGCAATGTCATAAGGTAATCAATTTCAGATTAACGCGTTATTTATTTCAATCCCAAGAAAAAAATGTTACAATTTAATCATCAATTTCTTTCTTTTAGAACACAGACTTCGTCTTGTTGAATTCACTTGCCGACTAGATTTATTAACACTGAAGTTCTTTAAAGATATAACTCAAACATTAGTACAAAACTGATATATTTACTACTAGATCACTCACACACGAACAAGTTTCAAAATGATAATCCTTGTAGGGAAATAAACCTAAGTTGTGTTTTATAAACAGCAACCCAAATAGCCTTACATTTGGTGTTTCTATTACAAATCCAAACACTAGTAACGATCTATATTAAACTAGTAAGTTGAAATTACAATCTTTTTTATGTGAGTGATTTACGAATGTTTGGATAGGAAGTCATATTCTTCTCCGTGTTGCCTTTTATACTGAAATTAGACCTGGCAATGGAGCGGGTTTTGATCCTGATTCGCTCCAAACCCGTTCAAAGTTAATGAGTTTGGATCATATTTTATAATTCGCTTATCCGTTACCGACCCGTACCCATTAACCCTTTTATTAAAAGGGTCGGGTATGGATCACTATCGATCCGATCCGATCCGTTTATGACCCGCCCCATCTAAAATTTTAAAATTTAAATTTATTATTTATAAGTTATACATTTATCAATCACCGATACAATGTTTAATACAGGACTCGAAGAGTTCGATCGTTCCACTTCCACTTCCACTTCCCTGTTTCTAATGGCCGATTTTCAGTCGACGTCCAATACAAATAACTACGTAGCTAATTGAAGTTTATTTGGAATGAATCTTGTCTGACTTTACTTTTTAATGATTCATGTTATATATGTTGTAATGCATAATAATAGCGTAATCTTAATATCGTAAATGAGTCGGGTAAAAGGGTTGAAAATCCGTTGATCCGGTGGATAAGGGTATAAGTTTAATTATTCAAAACTCTACGGGTTACAGGTCGGATTTGAATCAACATTTGAAAATTGCTTAATGAGTTTGGATCAAGGCCGATCCGCTCCAAACTTGTGCCATTGTCATGCCTACTGAAAATGGTTATACTAAAGATGGCCAGGTTGGATTCCTTACCCGTTGACCCAGATTTCCGATTTGACTTTTGACATGATTCAACGGTCAAGCCTTGATAAACTTATCGTTCAAATTTGCCTCTAAACGGTTAATTATTGGCTTCTACAGTCGACTATATAATAGAAAGTAAGTTAACCTATGTGACTAGGGGTGTTCGTTTGGATGGATCGGTTTGATCCGATCCAATTAAGTAAATCTAAATTAATTTCGGTTTTCAAAATATGGATTCGAGTTGTCCAAACTAAATTCAAATCCGATCCGATCCAATCCAATTACAATTTGGTTGGATCGGTTTTTATAATTCGGTTTTCAGAGGGCATAACATTTAAAAACGATATATAATTATAATATTATCCAATGTTTATATAAGAAGCAAAAACAAATTATTTAGTTGTAATTTATAATTTATAAACAACTACTAAGATTGTATATTATAATTTAATATTTAATAGATAAAACACTTTTAAGAGAAAATACATATTATTTTTTTTTATTAGGTGAAATCTTTTGAACTTTTTTGAAAAAAATTCATTTATAAAATTAATAAATAATTATAGATATATTAAAAATAAATAAATAATAACTTGTTACTCGGTTTTTTTTTTGACAAAGTTACAAAAATGGTCCCTGTGGTTTGCCAAAAGTAACAAAGTTAGTCCCTATTAATTTTTTTTATGCAAATGGCCCTTGTGGTTTGCAAAACTTGCACAGATGGCCCTTTTTACTAACGTCGTTAGTATTCAGCCGTTAGGGACTGAATTAGCAAGGGTATTTTCGTCTTTTCAAGTATAAAGGGACTGGATTCGC